TTTAATTTTATTATTTTATATAAAATATAAAATAAGTAATTTGATATATATTTATATATCAAATTATTTTAAGTAATTTTATTATTTTACGTAGAAAGCTTGATAAAAAATTATATTCTTTTTATCAAGCTCACAAGTTTCCTTACCCGACTAAAGCCAACATGCTACAAACATACTCGACAAAAGTCACAAACATACAATCGTGAGCAACTATTCCGACTATAGTGATTTCCCAAATAATGATGGAGTGCCAGAAGATTTTATAGAAATATTCCCGAAGTTCCACGAAATAGTATCCTGGATATGGAGGCATTATGGGACGGGATTCATTAAGGGGCCATACCGCGTCAAGTGCGAATGGCACAAGAGATAGTGACATAAATGTAGTTATCGCTAACATACAATATACTGCAATGTACAAAGTATAAATCATGATTTTGAACATGTATTGGATACACATGTATTTAGAGATACGTGAAAAAGAGATCACTAGTGCAAAGAACAATTTGTGAAAAAAAAATGCATAACTTTTGAAAATAAAACAGTATAGAGCATTCTTTTCATTGCTTTTCATCCGTATACATTACACAAAATCGTTTACTGTTCTTTGCGTATAATTTCATAATCTCATATTCTTCGGAAATTTTCAATCCCTTCCAGTCGATGAATAAGTACTTGAGTAAGTACTTTTGATCTGACAAAAAGTGGATATTATCAATTTTAAATAAAATAGCATTTATAAAAGTCTAATAAATGTATACAAAAATTGAAAAAAATTGAAATTTTTTTTTTCTTAAACTGCTACTTTTAAAATCGAACATATCGAAATAGTTATAATTGCTTAATTAGAATATACCGTGCGAATATTTAATTGACACGTGTATACTTTTAACAAAGAAGTACTATATGGGCTGAAAAGTCCCGGGATTTTAAATGAAAACAAGCGTTTTTTGGGCAAAGTTATATTTATTTCTCAACATAGTTGCCTTCGAGGGCGATACACTTGATATAACGATTTTCCAACATTTCGATGCCCTTTCTGTAGTACGAAACGTCCAAGCCTTCGAAATACGCCTCGGTTTCCGCGATGACTTCCTCATTCGATGTGAATCTCTTTCCCTGGAGCCACCGCTTGAGATTTGGGAACACATAATAGTCGCTGGGGGCCAAGTCTGAAGAATACGGTAGGTGAGCAACCAATTCGAATCGTAATTGATCCAATTTGGCCATCGCTTTCAAGGACGTGTGTGATGGTGCGTTATCGTGATGGAACAGAATAAAGGCGAAAGTAGCGCCACTTAAACGACTGTAGCTTGTAAACGAATGAACGAAATGTCATGAAACTTCATACATAAACTAGTGACAGACGAACCTCCCGAAATGAATCATGTTCATTTTCTAGTGGCCCCACGTATTGAAAAATCCCGAGACTTTTCAGCCCATGTAGTACATGTCAGTAAATACGATGTCATCGCCTCGCAAATACATTGCACATTTGTCTTGCACATAAATTGATAAGCAAACTGAAATCATTGTCGTTTATCATTCTTGCAATAGATTCTTCTCTTTCGAGCATTACATCAATTTACCTACGGAACGAGTACAATCACCATGATTATAGTCATTACAGCAACGCGAAATATCCTTGCTCTCGGTTTCAGATACGGCCACATACCGGTGAACGATGATATTTTGTAGACGATATTATAGTAATGCCTCCAAGTCTCCATAATTCTTAAGATACCGCGTTTTCACCACAGCAAAGGCAATTAATCTCATACGGTTGATCGCTCACCCTCTAATGTTAGACACCAATTAAAATGATATCCCCTTGCACTAAAAAAAAACTGCTGTACATACAGACGATTCTCATGAAATAACTTTATTGCATGTCATGTCAATCAACGACTAGACATAGAATTTATAGGAACAGGTAGTTTGATTCTTTGACATTAATAATGTAGTCTCTCAATAATAGAGGCTCGTTTTGCATGTTCCCTCCGGAGTGTACTTATCGATGAGAACGAAATAATACGATAAAATGAGTATTCTCTATCGACAGAGATAGACTTTTAAATAAGTGTCATGAATGTTCGAAGCCTCTGGAAAAGAAGAAGGGAGGAAAAATCTTTCAGTCGCATAGCAATATCGATAGCAAAATAAAATTTTATTACTTTTGTTTCGTTACATAATAGCAAGTATAAAAGCATTATTTTATTCGGTCTATTATTTGTAATAGTATACTCCTGTGGAACATTTCATGGATGTTTTACTACATGCTGCCACAATTACCGGATATCGTTTACGACACATCAAAGGACGACAGTAACGTAAAGTACGACATCGAGCTTTGCACTACCTAAATGAAAAGGTTTCATGTGTCTTCCTTTGCATTTTTATATTTTTATAGCGTTTGTCATGTTAATTGTTTTACCGTCATGAAATTTTCTAGAGAAAATACGTATATCTTGCCGGCGGACAAGACACAAGCTTCGATACTTTTTCTCATCACGAACATGAGCAATCTTTGTTCCTTCACGGGTATAGTATACCACGAACTATGATATCTATAAAATTACCATTATACATACAAAATAATTATAGTAAAAGTTTATCGATTGCAAATGATTAAAGTTGCTTATAATAGTTTTTATAGAAAATGTATTCTTCATATCAATCAATTTATTTTCAATTTAATACTGTCTCTTACATCTTGTCGCGAATTTCGAAACTATAATCTATCACTTTTTGTCCTTGAAAGCTGAAGCAGAATAAGTGAAATAATTGACCAAAAATGAAAAGGAAGTACCTCATCGCTTCCGCTAAATCGTGCAGCTGTATCGAGAACTTTAACACGAAAAAGATAAAATCTTGTTTTGATTAACATTATAAAACAACATTAACATTTTAACTTTGTTAACATTATATTTTCGTATTTCGCTATCTATTAGTAAATCACTCACTTGTACTAAAGTAATACTCAAGCCAATTGTAACTAACAAAAGTTGCACAGCGAACGATATCGTAAAGGTACTTTCAAGAAATTGAACGAATCTATGACAAAAATATAATAATGACTAAATATCTAAATAAAAATCAAACAAAAGAATTGCAACTTGTCATGATCTAACAAAGATGATTTGTTAATTAGCATCAATATTAATAGTTGCGTTCAGCAGAGAAAATAGCTTTGAAGAGCAAACTTTCAAAATTATGTTGAAAATATCATTTTTGGAATTAGAAATGGCGTAGTGTTCAATAATGAAAGATACATGTTATAATAGTATTTTTCAGCGTCAAGTTATTATATTATTAATATATATATATATATATATATATATATACTGAAAAAATCTAGGCATTTAATGTGTTTTATTATCTCTAATTATCCTTTAATTAGAGACAAATAAAACGTGTGCATTTGTTTAACATTATTAAAAAATGTTTAGCAATTTTGTTTAACATATTTATTACATCTTACTGACTGGCAAATTGTTTTTTTTTGCGAGATGCGTGCTTTCCATGTAACTTTCTTTCTTGTTTTTTGAAAATTTTTTGAAAATTATAAATTTTCGACTAAACGCATTTTGAAAGTCTGCTCGTTAAATTTTGTAATATTCTTTAATATAATTGTTTTATACATGTAGTTCAATAAAGAAGACAAGATCAATCATATAAACGAATTTTGCAACTTGCAATAGTTGCAAAGCTGCTTTCTTCGCTGAATCCAACCAATGAGAGAAATATATGCTATAATTGTTACACACTCACTGCAAAGCCTTTCGATGAGCGGAAATTGATATCATGATATTTTTTTGATACATAGCATCTGGATAATTAATCATATTTTTTTCCATAGCACTACGTTTATGTGACACGTGCTCAAATCTAAAGCTGTAAGTTTTTACACAAAATATTGTTATGAGAGTTTTTGCAAATTATTTTCTGTCTCTTCCAAGCGAATACACAAGAGAGCTAGAAACTATTATTGTATTATATTTACTTTTAGATATAGAGAATTTTATGTTTTCTAATTATAAGACAAATGTGATCTCATTTTCAGAAAAAATAATTATTACCCAATAACAGCGAAAAGGCCGCAGATGTGTTCAACGTAAACAAAGAACGTGCTATCGTGCGCGATTAATCCGGTCATACACACGCTGCTGGTAAGTAACATATGGAGAAAAATATAGTAGAAATATTGATTTTCGTCAACGAAATAGTACGCTGGATATGGTAACATTATAGGGCGGGAAATATTCAATGGAAATACTATATCCAAGACGCGTGGCACGAGAGAAGTTGTTGCAAATATAATGTTAGACGCATAAATAAATGCTGCAACAAGGACAAAATTTATAAAAACGAACGTTTATTAAAATTAAATTTTTTTAATTAAAAGATTTTATTCCACTATAAAGTATTTTATTTTTATAAGTGTGTCTAAATTTCTGCTTCAGAATTTTTCTCTCTTAAAATTCTTATTTAGTCTATATGTAACGTTTAAATATTTCTTTTTGTCAAATATGTGACAGAAAAATTTGTGTGACAGAATATCTTAATTATATTTTAACCAAATAAAATTATTCTTTTAAATATATTTTTCATAGTTCGTAACTGGAGATTTTCTCTAGAAAAAAAAGTTTTTTCCTTGTGCGACTTTTCTTATATATTCAAATAATGTCAGTTAAATTTTACTGATGTGTTTTTTGTAATTAGTTTAAAAAATATTTCTATTTCTATTTTTATTTAATTTAAACAACATATCCGAACATAAAAAAATATTTTATTTTAATTTTTTAATTACACAAGAATATGTAAATTTGATTTTCAAATAAAACCAAGCTATTACTTACATCCATATGTCAGCGCATACCATCTACCTTTTTCGGCATATTTTCTCATAATGTCGTGTTCTTCTTTAGTTTCGAGGATATTCCAGTCTACGAATAAGCGATCTGTGAGATCTTTAATCTAAAAACGTCAGCGATATATATTTGATATTTCGAATGTAATATTCTCAATAATTATAACAACATCATCAACAAAATCTAATGCCTATATTCACAGTCAGGCTTTGTATTTAAGGCTTGTACTAATGCTCAACAACCAATGAAATAATTCTCATAGAGTATCTAAAGATAAATTTAAGGAAGTCTTAATTTAAAGCCTCTTAAATATAAGGCCTGACTATGAATACGGGCATAAGATTTTGCAACGCAGTTATTTTTTCGTGACTTTACGAATAGAATTTAATAAAACGTACTTTTTCGTTGTTAAAATGATACGTGAAAATTTTCAATAAAATCATCATTGCTAACATATATGGAGGTAAAGTTTCGTAGATACACTGCGCGGTTTTGCACACGCCAAATTTTGCCCCCTGCAAACGCACTCACGTGAAGAAAGAAGAATAAAATTGTTATTTTAGAAAAACTAAATATATAAAGATCACAAGTAACAAAACAATCTAGATGTGATACAAGGATATATGAGCAGTAGCCAGATTACAGTTGCTAAAATATAATATTTCAAATAACATAAAATAAAATGTATGTTTTATTTTATTATATGTTATTTGAAATATTATATTTTAGCGACTGTAATCTGGCTACTGCTCATATATCCTTGTATCACATCTAGATCACATCTATCTCATATACTCTTGTGTCACATCTAGATTGTTTTATTATTTTTAAAATCATTATAATACTTCAATTATGTACTCATTGTAATCATCTTGTTAATTGTGACTTCAGAAGCGAGAAAAATACATAAAAAAAATTCTTGCAAATTTTATTAAAATGTAAATATTTTGTAATAAAATAATATTTGCAGTAAAATAAGTTTGCAAAATATATCACAAACTCTCTTAATATTCCAGTAATCAATAAATAATATTCAAAATTAAATTATGCCAGAAAATGAAAGCTGTATAACAGTTGTCGAATTGAAATAAACATGATTTGATTCTATTCTAAGATAAGAATTTTCGATGTATTTTACAAGTGTATTTTATCAAATGAAAATATTGTTTATTTGAAAATATTATATTTCTATTTTAATCTATTTTATAAGAATTTTTATTATATATTTGCTTCTGACGTCATCAATCAAAAATTCGTGATAAGCGATTTGGAATCTTAATCAGCGCAGAATTTTAACAAATTTCTATTGTTTCTTTCCTCTCTTAAAAAAAATTCTTGACAATAATTAATGTTACCTGTGGAATGATTGAAGAGATTGCAAGTATCATTATAAGTATAAAGTAAATTAGCTTCTCTTTCGGCTTCTGATAAGGCCACTGACCGACTAACATAAGGTACTTTTTATTGATATCGTAATAGTAACTTCTCCTGGTTTTCATATTTCATAAAACAGTCTCCTCGGCTCTGTAATGTCGTCTGAATTTCGAAACTTCTCCTGGAAAGTATTTTTTTCCGCAATAAGAGTCGGTTGTAAGTAAATTAATATTTCAGATCCTCCTCTCCGCGGCACGCACATTCTCTTCCCATTGTCGGGGGACATTTTAATGATGGATTTTCTTAACTGACAGGCACTTTCGCTAAGTATGTATGCCTTCCAACAAGCGACAAATGACACGGTGTGACACAATGGATCATTACATCCTTCTTGTTTGCCAATGTTAAACAAAGAGATGATCACTGTGTCGCACTGTGTCGCTGGAAAGCACACAATATGTTTCATGTAAATATAACAGGTATTAATAGCAGATGCAAGTGAACAGTTGATCCTTTCAGAAATATGATTGGAATGAGTGTGTATTGAGTACACACTGGAATATATGGTAGACGGTTTGGAATGAATTGAATTATACTGAACAGTTTCCTTTCGGACAGTATTTACCTGCGAGATTATACTTACTAGGATAACGTAGAATGTTTTCAGTTTCTGATACAGTTACGTGTCGGTAAGCGATGATACTACAGACAATGTCATGTTGATTGCTGTTGATTTCGATAACACTTATAATTACAGTGTAGTATCTTCGATAATACAAAGACTAATTTCGTACTTTTTTATCTAATTTTTCATTTGTGCTTATTCTTCAATATGAGATATGAATAAAAAAATCTTTTTTGGAAAGTAACATAAACAATTCTTACAACACAACTTTATCGCGCAATGTTCCATCCGGATTTTTGTTCTAATGGATTTTATGAATATAAGTAATATATATGCTCCTTTGACAATGTAGTTCCATAATAAATTAATAAAATAATAATTAATAAAAATGGCTTATTTTACAAATTCCTTCCGGAAAGCATGTATCGTTCAAAATAAAATAATGCTATAAAATGAGTATTTCTACTGGTTTTTGTATACTTCTGCATACTTCTACATATCGTATTTTATCGATCCTTCGAGGAAGGATCGATAGAGAAAATTTTCTGGTTTTTTAGAAATTATCGATAGAGAAATAAAATTGTATTATTTTTATTTTATTTTATAATAATAGCAAATATAAATATTATTTTATTCATTGTACAAATTATAATATTATTATGGAACGCTTCAGGGATATTTTACTACATGCTGTCATAATCGTTGAGTATCATGACACGTCAAAGGACGATAGTAACGTAAAGTACGACATCGAACTTTGCACGACCTAAATGAAAATAAAATTTAATATATTCTTTTTATTTGCATATTTTTATGATGTTTGTTATATTCATTGTTTTACCGCTGTAAAATTTTCTAGAGAAAATACGTATATCTTTCCGGCGGTTAAGACATTAGCTTCGATACTTTTTCTCATTACGAATAAAAGTAATCTTTGTTCCTTCATTGGTATGATAAACCACGAACCTCGAAATCTATAAAATATACTATCATTATACTATCATTACTAGTATTATATTTACAAAACGATAAATAAGAATATAATCTATTGATTGCAGGGAATTTT